AAGGAGTTTGGGTTATCTACAGAAATGAGGAAGAGGAGGTCTCCTTGAGTAAAAAAAAAAAAAAAAAATAAGGGAAGGAAATGTTAAAGACATACTTAAAGTTATACTGCAAACTGACAGCATTCTAGCAGGAAGCACACTGTCATTGGGAAGAGGTGGAAGAAATCCTAAGACTCCGCTTTCTAAAGAACCGCTCCCTTTACTGGAGACTCAAGCGTGAGCTGACTCACATCAAATCACACAATTACTTTAACACTTCAAAGTCTTTAAGACAAAGGTAATGTTAAAGACATACTTAAAGTTATACTGCAAACTGACAGCATTCTAGCAGGAAGCACACTGTCATTGGGAAGAGGTGGAAGAAATCCTAAGACTCCGCTTTCTAAAGAACCGCTCCCTTTACTGGAGACTCAAGCGTGAGCTGACTCACATCAAATCACACAATTACTTTAACACTTCAAAGTCTTTAAGACAAAAACTTTATACATTACATCAAATTATACCACATTCAGAGATTCTATTTAGCTATTTAACTTTCTTGCCTCATTTTAAAATATTTTATTCCTCTGCTTTAAAACCCATTGCATTGTTTTCTAAATTTTATCATTTTCTGTCTACACATAATGGGGCATAGACTGATGATAGCTTCATATCCATACTGAAATCATCTTTCATGAAAATTTATTAAGAATGGAAATGTCCAGAAGCATAGACTTAACCTATTTTGTGAAAGTTCAAGGCAAAAACTTGTGTATCACTAAGCTTTCCGAATAGGAATGAGAGGTACGGAGGATGGATGCTGACTATCTGTCCTAAAGCGAAAGTCACATTCTTTAAGAAAACAAAACCTGTAATTAACAAAATTCTGCTTCATTCCTGAAGCTTCTTTTCCCCCCTCTGCCCTAGATGTCCCATGTGTCAGGAAGCACACAACATTGCATGGTTTTCACAAAGCAGTCAGCAGAAGCCTCTCAGTTTCAAAGGCACAACTCATGTCCCTCAAGTTCAACAGGATTGTACAAGAAGTATTTCAATTTCACATGCTCTAAAAGTTACTTTCCCACAACTCACATGTGGTAATGAAGGCTCAGAACTGAAGCTGAAACAAAAATACACATTACCTCCTTCACTGGTTTCTTCCTCAATCATATCAATCCACTGGCACAGTAACAAAGCCATTTGTTTCCTCTCTCCCCCTTTCCTCCCCCATGCATCCCTACCTCCTCCCAGCTGCTTCTGGTTGCTTTCACACAGTCAGTTTATGGCCACCCTTAAAAAGTCTCACCACCCCATATGTTATCTATAACCACTGGGAAGAGAGGGTGATTCAGTAAGGCTCCTGTTTGGTGCCTGGTGAAACTCTTTCATGCTCTCTCCTGTGACTATACAGGCAGACTGGGTCCTTACATTAACATAATGTTCAGTGATATGAGTAGTCTCCCAAGCTAAAGCTCCTATCTCAGAACATCTACCATAATAATGTCTTTAAAGATGCTCAACAATGCAGCAGTTACAAGTTGAATTAACCCAGATGTGGAAGGTGAAGGTAATTTAATTGGCTATAACATAATGGAGAAGTTTGAAAGCCACTTTCTTAAAAGCAATCTGTTAAGAAGTCTTCAGCAGACAACCCTGACTGATAAAGCCTGCTGATCTCTATATTCTTCATGCTGATTTACAAATTACTGTTATATTACTGACCACATGCATCCAGAAGTACATGCCCCAGTACTACATTGTAAATCTATTTCATAAACCTCGTTCAGAATTATGGTAATTCCAATCCAAGTTTACCACAGTGTTATATCATTGTATTTACTGTATTCTTTTCTTATGTCCCAAAAAATATGACACCCTGACCCAAGAATAATGGGAAATTAGATTAACATGTCAACCAAAAATTTCACTAGTAGATTCCATGTGCAAGCCTTTGATAATGATGTGACTTGCGTTCGCTCACTTGTGCTCTCTCTCCCTGCTTTAAGTATTTAAGACCAGCAAGTTTTACACAAAGTAAATGAAACTTCTAGGTATTTGGCACATAAATTTGTGAGACCAGCTTTAAAATCCCAGACACAGACTCTGTGCTGCTGAATGGAACAAAGGCCTAAGTCTTGTACTCCAGTTTTCCTTGCACAATGCTTGCGTTCACTTAAATCTTTACATTCAAATTCACTTATTCAGTTGTTACTCTTACAAATTTGCAACTTATGCGCAGTCAGTTTACTCATTATAAATATTGCCATAGTGAAATAATAAAGCAGACTCCTTCCTCCCACAGAAGGAGTTTGTTTCAACACAGACCAGCTGAACTAAAAATGAAACTTTTCTGGAGCATGCACAGTCAAAAGCCTTGTTGATGCCCACGATAACTGCATGTAGATAATTAAAATGTATTCTTTTTTACTGACTGAATGTATATAGTATGCCTATTTTCTCTATATTAGTGTGTGACAAATGTATTCTTAGCATGTGATAAACACCTGGTTTTTTTTTGTCTGACTAAGCATAACAAAAGCGTAGAGAAAATGGTCAGTGAATGAAAAAATAATTGTACCCAATAAAAGCCGTAGCAGCAGAGCTGACTAACATAAGACATCATCATGCTTCTTGTGCAAACTGAAGATATGCTTTTTGCATGCAGCTCTGAATTACACAGATGTTATTTTCCAGAGAAGAAGTCTTGTTGGGGAAGATTTGTACTATTAAAAATCTTTGAGGGGTCCCATTCTTGGATAAGGATGCAAAATCCTTCCTTATCAGGTAATCCAACATGACCCTGAGCACACTCATGTTTGTAGTGGGGAGAGTTCTGACTATACAGCATTGTGCATGGAATAATACACAACATTCTTTAAACACTGTGAAGGGTTTGGAGTACCTGGGATGTGGCCAAGGGTGAAACACAAACCTCTGTTTCTCATACCCCAGTCCAGTGAGGTTTGGAGAGTCCCTAGATCTTGCTGATGTAAACAGAAGGCAAGAACTCCCACTAGGTCACAGGAAGGAGACCTCAGCTACAGAAAACTTAATTGAGCTACTCAAGTTCAAGAGTTGTTTAGCATGGGCCTCCATTAAACTATACAGACTTTGCCAAAACAGAGTTAAAAGTGAAGGGATTTTTCTACAGTTCTAATATTTACAATTATTTGTACATATGTACATATTTATATATTTATTCATACCTGGACAATGTGATGTCAAAGGGATAATTTATAATTTACAAATGAAATATTTTAAAAATGTATAATTATACCATGAAAAAACCTTTTTTTTTTTTTTATTGCTTGCCTTCCAGCCTTATGCTCATAATAACATTATTGCACACACCTCCATCTTACATGGAAGATCTACATTTGTATATAAATATATATGAAAATAAGGAGATTTTTATTTTAATGTTCTGAGTAAAGTGCTAATTTTTTAATTACTGTTAATGAGAAAGGTTTAATCTGACAGTTTAATTAGAGGGACTTCAAGGTGTACACACCTTGTTCATGCTTCTCCCTTTTATTTATAACTTAAGAAATGTCTTTATTTTACTGATGTCAGCTCTGTCTTAACTACTAATTCTGTTCATAATGTGCATTTGTGACCTTGGCATCTATACTGTCACACAAAATACAAAACAATCACATTGAAAGCAAAGAGAAAGCAAGAAAATAAAACAGCAAATGAAAGCAGTGTTTCTCTTTGTTGTTTTTACCACATTTCCATGTCTTAAGATACTCTTTTATTTGATTTTAGAAATATTTGTACAACTTTGTTAAACTCTGAACATACCTATTTTATGCACTATACTCAAGTACTGTACAAAACTGCAATAAATGACACTATACGACTACATATGTCTCTACTAGAAGACATCATCATAAAGGTGTATCTTTTTTTAAAGGTCAACTAATAACTGCTAATGTATGTGTGAATCAAAATATTTTTGATTGGCCAAGTATACTAAAATCTACATACAGTACACAATTATTACTTATGTCATGATTTACCAGGCCTTTAGGGGCATAAAGAATCTTTGCAAAGGCTCAGATGAAAAACAATTACTGATCAGTATTAAATGTTCATATAAAATTGCAAATGGCAGCTCCAATTTTGTTATATTTGTGTATATGAAACACAGTTGATACCTACTGATGATGCATGACCTTTTATTAAAAAAATAACATTCAAATCTTAGCAAAACCATTTCTAGTATACAAAGTTGTTGTAAAGTTATGTCAGCGAAATGTAAAGTTGCAATTTACAAAAGCAGCAGTAAATTTTATTATATGGACAATTTCCTGAACTTAAATCATGGATCTTGTTTCCCTGGAAAACAATGTTTTCTGGGATAAATACAGGTAAGTATTTTAATGGCAGGTTTTAGGATAACATTAAGCAAGGAAAAAGATTGTGTTATATTACCGATATACTTAACCCTGAAAAATTTCTGAGTGCTTTTATGAACCTGACAATAATCCAATTAAGAACAAAGTGGAAATGCAAAAAAATTCCAACTTTGCTGAACCAGACAACCTGGCTTAGCAGCATCAAGTAAATAAAACAGTGAAAACAATAAGAGTTTCACTAACGGAAGTTGATTGTTATTGGAAATTTGATTAACACTTGCTTTTCCCTGAAATCAATTAGAAGAGTTTATTAACAACTTCAAACAGGACAGAAGTAGGAAACTTGTGGCTTTTGCCATATAGTAGTCTTTACCACCTCTTCAGCCTAACTAGTATCCAGAATGTGAACAGTAGAACTGTACGACCTCCATACTTTTTATGTACATGAGTACTGCTATTGTATGAAACAATTACACCTTTTTAAAAAAATCACTTTTTTTAAATGACAGTTTATTTCATTAAAGTAGAATTAGTTACTTTATAGAAAAATATTTTAAATTTAAATTAAAAAAATACTGTTCCTAAATAATTATGTAGGATCATATCTTCATTTCATTGTCCGGAGAGAATATAATTCTGTATATTTGAATCCTAGTTTAACAGAACTCCCCTGGGTATAAGTTTTAAAGAGCTGGCTATAATTGCCATGGGTGCTATCTGTTTACAGACCCATGAATTAACACTGCGTCCCTCCTTTGGAGATACACAGATAAGACATCTATATACACTCTGTACATAATGGTTCACAGATTAGCAGTTATTAGTCGTACTGTACATAGCAAACAACCTATCTGATTAGAATGATGCTTTAAGTCCTCAGTGCAATTCAGCTTTTAGGTTGATGGGGCAAAGCCAAGTAAGACAGGCTCCCTGTTTAAATATGTAGCCCAATACACTAAATTAAAAGTACCAAATAAGACTGGAAACACTATTCTAGACATCCTGTCAATTTTGCTAACACTGTTGAATGTCTTCTTTGCTTCCTGTGGCTTTGCTTCTGGTTTTGCCTTGTTGGGTTCTGCAGTTGTAGCACTCTTGGAGATGGTTGGTAGCACTGAGTCCTTGGTAATATTTGGAGCATAGTTGGCAACAGCCACTGCATAGGCATTGTTTTTCTTAATGACAGATGCTTTTTCTTTTTTCTATTGGAAGACAGCATGAAGTTAAATATTTAATGTGTATTTGCCAGAACAGACTTAATAAAACATAATTTCAAATGTGAAAGAAACAAATGAGTATGTGTATGTTAAAATAAATACCAGGAATACCATACCGATACATTAAAATATAAAGAGAGACACTTCCAGTCTATCCAAAAAGAAGGTACAGGTAACATAAGAATGCTCTAAAAACATGGACATTTGCACCATTAAATGCCCTACTGAAGTTGTATGAGGAAGGGTCTGTTACTGCGATTGTAACGATAACTGGAAGAGTTGATCCTTCTCTAGCTGCTTTGTATCTAGCTCCTTACAAGAGAATTGCAAGATCTCTAAAATGTTAAGAAAACTAGAAGTGAACGGGCGAACAAGAAAAAAAAGGATTACCTGGCGTTGTAATAAAATGAAAATCAGACCATCTTTCCCACATAAATCTAGCATCACTACTATTTGAACATCTCATAACATACCACCAATAAATAAAGGAATTTCAGTAATGGTCTACATTTTTAAGAGATTCTGGAAAAATAAGTGTGTTTACATGTATGTATACATAGACACACACACACAGAAGTCAGAAATAGACTGCAATTAAGAAAAAGAAGGACTCCAGCCCAGTAGTTGCAGAAGTGAGCTGAGAACTAGCCCAAGAACTATTTCTGTTTTTCAAAAATTATTGTTTAAAAAAATACATAAGAGTGATGAAAATGGGGATTAGAACCTAAAAATAACATAAGAAAAGTGGGATGAAATTACAAGAATTTAATGAAGTTCAGCAAAGAGAAATTTAAGTCCTGCACCTGGGGAGGAATAACCCCATGCATCATAGGTTATAGGTTGGGGCTAATGGGCTGCAAAGCAGCTTTGCAGATAAAGACCAAGGGGTTCTGGTGGACACCAAGTTGAACACAAGCCAGCAATATGCCCTCACAGCAACGAAGGTGAACAGCCTCCTGGGCTGCATTACAAAGAGTGTTGCCAGCAAGTCAAGGGAGGTGATCGTTCCCCGCAACTCAGCCCTGGAGAGACGCATCCAGAGCGCTGGATCCAGTTCTGGTCTCCCCAGTTCAAGAGAGACATGGACATAATGGAGTGAGTCCAGCAAAGGACCACAAAGATTATTTAAGGCCTGAAGCATCTGAAATATGAAAGGCTGAGAGAGCTGGGACTATTCAGCCTGGAGAGACTCAGGGGGGCCGTCCATCAATGTATATAAATATCTGGTGGGAGAAAGCAATGAAGACCAGATGAGACTCCTCTCAGTGATATCCAGTGAAAGGACAAGAGGCAGCAGGCACAAACTGAAATACAGAATATTCCACTTAAACATATGAAATAAACCTGTTTTACTGTAAGGGTGACCAAGCACCAGAACAGGTTGCCCAGAGACGTTGTGGAGTCTCCACCCTCGGAGATACTGAAAAGACATCTGAACATGACCCTGGGCAGCCATCTCTAGCTGACCCCACTTAGAGCAGGGGGGTTGAACTAGACAATCTCCAGATATGCTTTCCAACCTCAGCAATTACGTGTTTTTACAGGATTGTGTATGCTTTCAAATGGCTAAAGTTCAGTCAATAGCAGTCCAATGGAGAGGCTACATCTATAAATAGGTACACGAATATCTAGATAATGAGTACAGGCTTGAGTTTTCAGACATATATATAGGTACACAGACTATCTCTACAACAAGACTGTGATGCTATAAATTGATTCACTGCTTTACAGCAATCCTAAACTAAGGAACTTCTAATAATTTACAGGAAAGAACGGAAGATTTCAGTTTCTCAGGAAGCAAGGCTCTCTTCTCTTTAGAAGTAGGGAAATAAACATTAGATTTGGTCCATCTCTTCCACAAAATACAGAATTAAACAAATGAAGAAATGGTTAACTTCTGTGTCATGTAAGAAATCATCCGCTCTCGTATTGGTTTGGTTTGATTTTTAATCTAATGGAAGTGGCACAAGTGAGAATTCTTGTGACATTTCCTATACAAGTGCATTCCAATTTTTTACTTCCACTGGGAGGCATCTACTGAATTTCCAATTTTGGTTTTAAATTAGCTTCAATTTTATATTTATTAGGGCCACCTACAAATCTTGATAAGATCTTCATGTTTAGGTGTCATGCCCCAAATAACTTGTTTATGGAGACAGTGTCATACAAAAAGGACACCTGGAATCAGGTAGGAATTCAGCATTGTTCCTTATTGACTGGAGTGTAGAAAAAGGGCTGATCAAATATGTAGTTTTGTCCCTGCACCTGCTTTCCTGTGAGACAAATTCCATGTTAACAGCACTTAGATGGGAATTTCCATATAATGTGAACACAGATGACTGTCACTAAGGAAAGATATTTCACTTTTATTTGGCAAAGAGTAAACTTTGTTCTAGATGCACATGTGCATTTGGCAAAAATAAGAGCAAATTACCAAATCAAATTACAAGAGGAACACCGTAATTGATCTGTAATTCCTTCCTTTCAGACAAACTTAGTGTGTTTTTAAATGGTATCTGTAACACCATTAAAGAGACGTGCATAATAAAGATGAACCATGTTTTTGCATGAGAAACTATCAATATGTTAAAAGTTTAACTTTTAGCTAAGTTGGTGTGAAGAAAATAGAGAAATAGACATGTCAATGGTATACGAATCTTAAAATGGAATGGCTAATTTTGTCATTCCTAGGGAAGGAATACTACCTAGCTGTTAAACAGCTGCCACTCTAAGATCATGCGACAACACTGTCACATTAATATAAAGGAACAGCCAAAGGATGATCAGACAGTTTATAAGAGCTCCCTATGTTATTATAATGCCAGGGAAATGTGCCAGTTTGAAAAGCTGCACTCATGACATGCTGATCAACTTGCAGTGATTCAGTATCTTCTAGCATGAGGGGACAGATCCTGAAGCTATGATAGTTCATGCCCTTCTGGAAGTTGCAGGGAACTATAAACAATGTACTCCTTTCCTCTCATTTTCCTTTACCATTAACTGAATGGTTTACTTCTTTATGCATTGTGTATTCTGCATTCAAAGTGCTGAGAAACCATCAGTTAATTAAACTTTTCTTCACATCTAGTATTATCATCTAGGAAGGAAATTATATTCTATCTTGTTTTAAGGAGAACCACAGAAATCAAGAGTATTCTTTGTCAGAAGAAATGCTTTTCCATTGGTAGAATCAGTGACTGATTATATAATATAGTAACTCAGTCAAAACAACAAGTCAACTTTAGCATTTGTTCTGTGCTTTTAAAATTATGAACTGTAAAGCTTGGCACAAATTTAGGCATATCACCAGTTCATTTTGTTCACAAAATAAGAAATTCTATCACGTTAAAATTTCTTCATTGTATCACACCTACACTAACATCAATACCAGATAATTAAGGCAGGACTGTGTTTCTGTGCACTCAGAGCATCAATACATCATAGGTGAAGAAATACTCTGAATTTTGTACAACTGCTATTTAAATTAGTTTTAAAATTAATATCTACATATCATTAGGGATAAATTTCAGAATATTGAAAATATTAAAAAATCCTAGATTTTGTTATTAGTAGATTTTACATATACGATCATTCAGTTGTTTTTCTGATCCTTAGTTACCGGCTAAATTAATATAGATTCTATCTTTCTGTAATCTTTTTCTTATTTCCAACTCAATTGGATTAAATAATAATAAAGTGATCAGCTAAAACAATCTGGATTAAATTTTCCAAATAACCAAATAAACAGTTCTATCTGCAGACTCAAGAAACAAGTCAGACAGTTCCCAACATATAAAAAAAATGTGCTTGATAACTAAATACAGATTACTGAGACCAAGTGAGATTAGCTACATCAGGACAGATATATTTTTGTTCAGGACAGAAAATACACGTACATTCTTTTGATTTAAAGCATCATGTATTTTTTTTTCTATAGGCAATTTTATCAAAACAATCTATTACAGCTGTTTTAGTGCAATTGACTGGAAATAGGGTTATTTCCCTAAGACTTACCTTATCATTCACTACACTTTTTCCATCCCAGGCCCATCCTCGTTTTGTGAAATAATTTACAGTTGCAAATTCAATTAATGCAGAGAATACAAATGCATAACAAACAGCAATAAACCAATCCATAGCTGTTGCATATGCTACTTTGGGTAGTGAATTTCGAGCACTGATGCTGAGTGTTGTCATTGTCAACACAGTTGTTACTCCTGCAAAGGGTCAAAGAAACAGAACATCAACAATTTTATTTGGATTTTGAATGTTAACAAAAAAACAAAACAAAAATTGTTACAGTATGTTTGTGAAACACAATGGGAAATTGGTTTATCTGCCAGAAACATATTAAAGGCTGCAATCTGGAGTTTCCTTTGAAATATTTTAGCTCAGCTTCGTTGCCTAAACTTCCCTTTTTCAATCAGCTGAAGATTTTACATACAGGAGATAGAGAATTTTTTTTTCCTTTTTTTTTAGCTAACAGGACAGGTAAGGGACATAATTAAAAAAATCCCTAATGGAATTACAATATTTTTCAGCATTATGGTAATGATTATTAATATATTAATGTATCTTATAATGTCTCCTTCTGCAGTACCCTAACCACAGGTGTCTTACTGAAGAAAGGTTGGATCCAGTTGCTTAGCCCACAGATTTGGTGGCTGGCTTACACTGCAGCGGCTGCAGGCCTGACACACAGTTTTACTGACAGTATCACACAAATTGACATTTTTTAATTGAATTTTTTTTTTTCCCCAGTAGCTGTCTCACTAACCATCCAGTGACACAGTTGAAGACACAAAGAGATTCAGTTTTCATTCAGGTAACATGGATTTTTTTCTAGAACAGCATATTTATTTGAAATGACAGATTATTATAACTATAATATTTGATGGTCCAAGAAAACTGTTCTTTCACTGTGGCAGTTATTAAAAACACTTTGCAGTACTCTATACTTAATGAAGACCCATCAGGAAGCCAGAAAATATACTCAAAATATCAGAAAAGAGATACATGGGAGGAAAGGAAGAGAGGAACATTTTTCTGAATCAGTTTTAGCAAGCAGAAACCCAGTCACAAATGTAGTCTCCATTCCTTAAGTAAATCAATTCTCCCACCTCAGGCTGAATCGCATGTAGACAAACTAAACTATTCCCTTTGTGGCACACCATTAAATACATCACCAGAATGAAAAGCGATGCAACGTGATATACTTTGTACAGATCAGCAAACCTGCACTCCATTATAACAGGCAAAGGAGATGCCATGGCAGAACTATTAGTAATTACACATCTTCAACAACTACAAACTCATAAAATTGTTATAAAAGGATTCCCAAAAGAAAGTCAAGTCACTCTCCCTAAGCCAGATCATCCACTGTCAGCAATGTCACCTAGGTTCCACAGGATAGACCGAGCTCCTATTTTCCTACAAGAGAAGCATTTTTAACCACTGTGTGAGACGGAAGAGAGGCAGCAATTACACCTCCTCAGCCCTCCTGTAAAGAATCTGCATCTCTGAGGGTGCTACAAAGGATGACAGAGCAAAGCCAAGTAGATTCAGCCTCAGCGCTACTCTCCCTTGAACTGCTTCCAAAGCAGGGAAAACAAGGCACAGAACCATCCTGCCTAGTCACACAGTACCCAGACGCCTAAGCGAACACAGTTCTCTAACTGCTATTTTCAGCCTCCATAAATTAAAGAAGTGGATTTGGTCTGGAATCAGCTGTGACACTGTTGGGATCTACTAGCCTATACAACGAAAAGGAAGCAGCTATCATACTGTACTGTATGAAAATGTGCAGACAATATATTTTGTAAAGAACTTATTCTCTCCTAACACACAACACATAGGTTAATTATTTTCAGTACCTCAGGGAAAAGGCAGCCTACCTTACATTTAAAATTATCACATGCAAATTTTAACACCTGAGCTGCAGATAAATAATTTTAATTATACAGAAATATCAGCAAAGTAATTGTTTCACAGAGATAAGGTGACCTTATCCACATGTAAATATATAGAGTTGCTAAGGTACTTTCCATTTAAGTCCTATCTTTTAGAATAAACTAATCTTCTGGAAGTGCCACTGGCTTCTTAAGCAATCTAATTTAAGATTAACTGCTAACCTTTTCTAGTCTCAATTAAAACATCATGAATTACATCTTGTATCTTGCTAGCAGTTGACAATTTCTCTAAAAAGTTCAGCAAGCCACACCAGTTTGTGACCTAAATGCTAATCAAACAACACAGTCAGACAATTGCTAGTGCACTTTCATTTATTCCTTCACTCCATAAATTCAGTGATGTTCAAGCTACCAGAGTCATTTAAATTGAACTGAGTGAGAAAAAATTGGACAGAAAATTTAATCTCTGATACCTGTCAGTTTATACTTGGTATTCTTCTTCAGCCTAAAGACAGATGATTTTGCACATTATAGTTAATTTGAAAAATCAGTATTATCAACTCTTTATGAAGAAGGACTGAATGGCAATAACCTGCCTCGTCACTGCTAAATCAGAGAGCACTGCAAAATTATTAATGTGGAGGACTATGGTCAACTTGTAAAACAAAACACATTTATTTCATAAAGATTATCTTAAAACCCCACAAAACCCGCACACTGACCAGATCAAAAACACTCCTCATTGCATTGTCTAATTCATAACGCTAGTGAACTAAAACTGGTATAAAAAACAGTGAGTAGATTGTCCCCCTACAATGAGGTAGTCAAAATATTAGAGGAACACAATCTTCTCCCAAAAATAATATACTACTCTGAACAGCCTAAATAATTTAACAGGCTGCATAAAGATTGTATGATATCTCATTATAATGTAGAAAGACCACAGTTTATATACAGGTCAGGAACTATCTTCTACAGCCCAGCACCCAGCAGATGTAGCACTGAACAGGTGCCAGAAGGACAGGGACAGGTATCATTTTGTAAGAGACCGTGAGCAGTCATCATCTTGTCTTTAAAAAGGATCCAAAAAATAAACTGTTGACATTTCCCTTCTCTGAAGAGGACCAAGCATTTTATACTTGACAGTAAATATATTCCAACATCATTACAACTTTTGTCCTGAGCAATGCATGCCTATAAAACCTAAACATCTTCTATTGCTACAGGTTTACCCATTCAGGCTAAGACTGCAGCTATTTGATTGCCTAGGGAGGTTTTTTATGGTGCTGCTTTCGAAACTGCATCTGCTCATTGGAGAGAGGATATCCATCTCCAGGGCTGTAAATTCAACACTTCACTGGCACTATACTTATATATGTGAAAAATACCACCTCTGTCATATTTTGGATACCAGGACACATAGATTCTATTCAAGATACATTTAAAGTTAGACAGCCAGCTTTGGGAAAAAAATTTGTGTTACTCAATGGTATAGGGCACTGACGTAACAGTAGGAAACATAAACTGAAAAAACTTAGAAATACCCAACTAAAAACACACAATGGAAATTGGAGGAGCTAGCACATATATATTAAAGTTAAGATCTGTTACGATGCCTAGTTTATGCCCACGTTTGTGGGCAAAAGCCAGGCTACTCCTTGACAGGGACAAGTTCTTTCAGATCCTAATTTCACCTCTTGTGTATCAACGGATTTTTCAAATTTGAACAGATTCTACTCAACTAAATCATGTCCTAGCCTTCTCGTGTTAGAATGTGGACATATCCTTTGAAAATGAGAGTTTAAAAGGTCTAAATAATGAGTTACCAAAGGACATTTCTGTAACAAAAGAGGTACTTCAGCTTTGCAAATAATTTGTACAAAATGCTTAAAAAGTTTACCATTGCTTATAATGGTATGCTACTCTTCCCATAACTTCATATTTTCATCACAGCACTTTGCAAAGATAGACGTAATGGTTGAAGAACATATCATAAAAGGATCGATAAATTACTTTTTATTATGAAGCTAATTTCATTTCTCTATTATTTCTCTTTCTCTTTTCTTAATAATAATTGCAAATGTTGCTAGGTAATTAGACCACTCAACCTGGTCCAAAACCTGAATAGATGTATAAATACAAATAACATAGCAGAAAGAGAAGACTGCTGACCCTTTTAAATGAGATACAGATTACTACTTCATTTATAACTCCAATAGTAAACAACTGGAGGTCTAAACAGAAGCTTAAAAATTCAGGAGACAGTGTAATTTTTTAAAGTATTATATCGTAACATTTGGCTACACACCATACTGTTTCTTTTTTTACTTACACAATATATACGTATTTCTTGAGAATACAATGCAAAGGAGCATACATTGATTCTGCTTAGACACCGGTAGTTAAGTCTGAACAACCACTGAGAGAAAGATCACAGAAAATAGCTCAAGTACTCTGCCTACCCTTCTTACTAAAAAAAAAAACAACACAAAAGGCCAGAAGCATGGGAACCCAAGGACCATAACATTATCTGTTTCCAGAAAAGTTGCATTCAGTCAGTCCGTTAAGCTACATATACATATCACAATGTTGGTATCCATGTTGCTTTACCGTACCAATACCGAGCAACAGAACAGAGTTCCCCATCAATCGATAGCTGAGACAATTACCAATGCTGAATGGCAAGTGCTATTTACCTCAGCTCCAGTAAAACTTGCATGTCATTATGCCACGATTGGAACATGAGCTAGTATCTTGGCATACCACTGAGCTGAGAAGAAATATCAGTTAATTTGCAGCCAGCTCAGTCTAACTAAGGGCTACAGTTTTCCAGGTATGCTTGCCCACTGCATACCACTAGAGTGTTACATCTACAGTTCGTAGAAATTCCCAATTAAGAAATTATAGACTGAAAGCTGTGAGTGGTGAGATATCTCTAAAGGCAGAAAAGATAATCTCCAGCATGTGAATAGAGAAGTAAATAAAGAGAGTTGAGATATTTTTCAACAAAACAGGAAAAGGTACTTTGTATATACATAATTGTTCAAAAGTAAGGGTCTACATTATTCAATTCCCAGTTAAAGATAACCAGAGAACAAATATGAACTTTTCATAGGTTCCCCTTTCTGTAGTTGCACAATTTAAAAGTCTCCTTATTTCAGGCCTAAATAGCTTTTTGCTTCAAAATGTACGTGAAGTAATATACTTTCAGAAGAGATAAATGAAGAACAAGCAAAATACAGGGGAAGGAATGCAGCATAAGAATAAAATGATCACAGAGAACAGAGTCCTGACAAAAGAACATAGCCATGCGAATTTACAACTCTGCATCTTGGACAACGTACTAAAAAATAATACAACTATTAATTTCTGTTCTTTCCTTCTGCAGGTATCGAATAAAATATTATGTCACTACATTCATTTTAACATTTGCATTCTTACTCCATGGGAGTTAAAACACTCTAAGAAAACTAATTTCTGATTTTTCTGTCACCTGCACCTAATGCTGCTATTCAAATACATGTGATGCTTCTCAGTGTTATGACCCATTAAAAATAAAGTAAGAACTCAATAAGCTGCACAAGATTAGCTTTGCTGATATTGTTGACACTAAATGCATAACAATAAACACATTACTAAATGAAAAAGATTGTAATCTTGCACTAAATGAAGGCATTATGAACCAGGCTTATCCCCTTTCATTAAAAATTCAATCAAATGCCCTTCAAATTTATCTGTTAGAGAAAACACATTCAAGACTTATTTAATTAACAATGATAAAACTTTTGTTTTCCAATAATTTAAAGCAAAGCTGAAACAATATAACATTAGGCCATAATTCCTTTGGGACAGCTTAGGTCAACAACATCAAATAAATGACATAAAGGAAAGGGATTAAAGAGCTCAACTACAAAAGATGCCTTATTATACCAAGCCCTTAACGTTAACCTAGAACTTGAAACTACATTGTGAGAGAATAGAAAGGGGAAAGAAAAGTAACTGCTTTCAAACATGAAATAATAAATGCTAAGTGGTGCTTTGCATAACTGGGAGTTATGTTTCTGTGAGAGGAACAGTACTCCAGTAGTTAGGCCTTTCCAGAACTTGGTATCTCTCAAGAACATACTTGAAATAGAGTTCTCATTGATTCTGAAAAAGACTTTATCAAAAGACTTTATCTACTTAATAATATTTTTAATAATGATATATTTATTATATAATGCAAAGATGGGCATCTAGCAAGTGACTACTCCATATAAAAACTAAAATTTAATTATGATCAATAAAAATGTAAAGCAAAATTTCCTGAAACGTTTACATTCCCTGCTGGAAGTAGCTTGTGTTACTACCTTAGCTGTAGTATGGGCTTCATGGGTCACTGGGTGGAGTCTATCTGAAAGTACCACCCAAATGAGACCTTGAGTATACCTGTCCAGCTCTAACCACTCAGTATGAGCCAGAAAATAGCAAGAAGCAACAGATGAACTTTGTTAATGAAACTGTGGCTAATTTCACATTTTTGTAACACATTTAGGCAGGAGACCAAAGAGTATCAGAAATCCTAGTGACAACTGCTGCTGCTAGGTATGGAGAAAGACTGGGAGATTCGCCTAAGGCTATGTTATTAGAGAGGCCATCAGCAGCTCATGCTGACAATCTAATCTAGAGCGTAAAAAACTGTTAAATAGCTCTCACGGGACATCCAACCCAATGTAGAAGCCTAAGTCTGAGGTACAAATGGTGCATGCGCGCAGGGGCTAGGCTGCTCCATCAGGCAGAGCCTGCACGTGTCTTGTTCCCCTGGGTTCAGGGTGCCAGCCTAAGCTGGCCTGGAGGGGACAGAGCCCTGACTGGTGTGCAAGGTGCACATCTGTGTGGCAGAAATAAAATACTAGCATAGAAATTGTTATCTCCTCGATATACCCATTGTGCTTCGTAAACAGATTTTAGATTCCATGTCAGCAGATAGAGTGCTTCTGTTCTTGCATCCACCCTGCCCAGATCCCTCACCACATCCTGAAACAGGGATCTGTTTGTTATCCATATCATGCTAAAAACCCAGCACAGTAGAGCAGCAGGCTGCTATGCAGATATTAATTATTTAAAAAAAACATATAGTAAATAAAAAATAAATCAAGAACAAGAAAAAGGCATGCAGGAAGGGATACAACATCCCAGGAAAATTATCCTAGTGCTTTGTTACTGTTGACACAGTAACAGAAAGAGCCTTTTCGGAAGAAGAGATGAGAGATTTTTTTTTTTGGACAAATGAATTGCTGTGTCATAAATGTATACGAAGAGGGTACAGAAAACAGCAAAGACAGAGATACAGAATGATTTGACAGTGTCCTTGCAAAGCTGGCAAACAGGGAGGTGCATTTTGACAAGCAGAAACAGACAAATTCACAGAAGATTTTGAAGAAAGAAATCTGCCTGATAACTGCGTGGGAAAACATGGTAGAATTCCAGTCTCACTAAAATCACTGACCCATTTCATCTGACTTCAGTAAGGCTCATATTCAAACCTGCAATTTTCATGATGCTTTGTGTGGCATTTTCTCTACACGGGAGACAGAAAGTTCTTTGTTGTGCATCATACTCCATATGCATTTGAGTTTGCCCTATTTTTGAAGAGTGCATGGCGTTTACTCACAACTAATCCTACAGCTTTATGCAGCATTTCTGATGGCTGATTCCATACAGACATTACCTGCTTTTTGCTGTGCTAGTCTCTTTTTCTTTAAAAGGAAACTAATAATAAGAACTTTAAGTTATGCAACTAAGAAAGACTTTTGTTGACTTGAAGAGAGCAAAACTCTAATGTAGGAAAAACACCATTATTTTGCATTGCTGAAGGTGTTTGCTGCCTTATAGTACACTCCCATTAGAATTAATGAGAAAGATTTGCTGAGCTGCCCAGAATAGGGTTTCTTTTAAAGAACTGCAGCTTGCAAAGTTTAACACCATTCAAATAATTCAACAAATTGAAATTTAATATGCTTAATTTCCAAATATATTTAGAAATGTGCTTACCTACAAAGTACCAAAATATTTGGATAATATCAAGGTTAAGTAAGACATTTCAGAAAATAAACTAAATTTATTTTTTAAATAGAAACATCTGTTTCTATTCTGTGAAAACTTTTTCCTCTTAGATTCAAGGATATATGGACAGTTCTCTCATATGTGCTAATTTCCAAAAACTTTGGGATTCTCAGGAGATCTGTAAGCTGCAGTTCAAAGCTGTTCGGACTAGAAATAGTATCACATTCTGCAAACATGCTAACTTGAATGAAAAAAGCCTTTACCAAGCAGACTTCAGAAATGCTTGCTAACAGCTTCATCTGTTACAAACAAAGCTAATGCCACTCAGGATACTCACCAAAGACTGTCCTGGCAGGTACAGATTCTCTGTTCAGCCAGAATGACACTTGAGAGAGAATGACAGTCATGATACAAGGGAGGTAAGTCTGAATGACAAAATAACCAATTTTTCTCTTCAAGTGAAAATGAGCTGTCATTACTGTATATTCACCTAGGTGCCACAAACAGACAAAACACAATGAAAGAAAAGGTTATAATCTTAAGAAAGTCCACTTCTTTGGTAGAACAAAGTTTGGTACATTTGTGAGAACCAAATGAGCTAGGGGTAAATTGCACATAATGTTTTTTGTAGTAGAAAGCATCCTACAGGATACAAGAAAGTTTTTGAGTACAACTACATCTTATTCTCCCTGAGCTCCAGGAAAGATCAGTGTTCAATAACTTACAGGAACTCTTGTATGCCCTGCCAAGAACTCCCTGTGTTCACATAAAGGCACCCTAAGAACGCATTCTACAGTCAGAAGGCAATCATGGGGGTCCATCACATGTAGGAACACAGTCTAGAGGCAGGTAGAATAATCCAGTATTTATGGATAGTCCAATAACATGATGGAAGGGAAAAAAATGGTTGAAACCAGCATACTTCACCATTCATCAGGCAAAAAGTGTCATCTATCATATGAATTAAAAAATTATCTGAGTCTTGGGTTACAGACTTTAGGATTCAAGACTGAACTCTAGATAGCATTTAAAAAACAGTCACTGGGAGAAGTTCACCTCTGCTATCATGGGTTACTTTTTAACCTCAAACAACCAGTAAAGTGCTGCTATGTGTTACTTGTACCATACATTAATAAATTATGGCTAATATATCACATTTTGTAACCGTTTTTTTCAGTAGCCTTCTAACACCACCAGCAATGCCCATGTTCTTCATAGCTGAGTGAGTGCCTTTTTGTTCAAAATACCTTTTACTAACCTGTACTAGATTTAACTGTCTCTTTTCCAATTGTTTGGCCTAAAAGATCATACTGATTCAATCTTGAACCATCTGGTGCCACCTGCACTGAATCTGAAGCATTGTAAGTCCAAATGTATGTCACTTCTGAAGTTGTGTACGCATCTGTGGGAAACAAGATAAAATATTTTGTCAGCAATTTAAATTAAACAGCTTCCATCAAAACTCACAGAATTAGAAGAGCTACTTATTTATTTTTTTAAAAAGCCACCCCAAAACCCTAAAATGTTATGGTAAAAATATGTTTGGCCATTTAAAATAGCCCTACTGTAGAGTAAATGCCTATTGCACCTGTGGGAGCGGGCACTCATTTGTGATCTTAACCCCAATTTATTGCTATTAAATTACAAACATCATCTCTTCTACACTGTTGAAAACTTGTCAGAGATTAGATATTATATGCATCCAAAAACTCACGGTAAGCCAGATGAAAAGAACAACAATTTGCAAGATTTAGGACACACAACATTTCTGAAAATTCATTCCCATATTGTTCTGACTTTCCATCGTCTCCACTCTCCACTTTGGGAGTGCATTACGAGCATTTTATTAGTAGCTGAAATTCATACCTAAATATGGGAAGCCAGGTTCAGTGACAATGCCCCTAACAAACTTGTAGTGGCTCTGTGCCTTGCCCTGCATACAGTCTTAAATTTCAGTCCTTATCATTGCATCTTTTTGTGGGACACGCTGACATTAAGCAGGCTGCTCTCTCAGTGCATTCATGATGAAACATACATTTAGCCTAGGGTTGGTCAAAATAAACTGGAATGGAAGCAAATCAACACTGTATTTTAGATAGCATTAGTGCCTCTACAGTAAGTAAGAAAGAAAAAAAACTGAGCATGTCCTGAAAGTTTTTCCACTCTAATACCCTACTAACCAAATGAAGTATGAAAGGAAAAGGGTAAACCACTGGTGGAAGAAACTGAGTATTCATTTGGATTGACTGAGACAAGTACATTTTACGTCCTATACAATAACTGTAGTGAAGTCAAAAAGTAAAGCAATATTTCTGTTGGGCTGCAAACATTTTCACTTGAGAAATCTCTGGAGGCCCTGAAAGAAGCTTATTCATACAACTAGCCATAAATTGTGTGATTAACAAAACCTAGTAGGTGAGTAGCATGCAGAGATTTTTAACACTTCCCTTCTGTCTTTCCAGCTTCCCACAAGAAGACCTCTGCTTTAATGCAAACCAGTAGTACTGCCAATTGCTAATTTGTCCCCATTCTCCCCACTGTTGGCTAAATTTTCTGATGATGATAAAGAAAGGCAACCTATTAAGCTACAGCTTCTCCAGTACATTCAGTTTGGCTTTTCTCTTATGTACAACAAAAATACTGAGACATTCGTATAGGTCAATGATCCTCCTAGCAATGTAAGTCTAGCATCATATGAAGAGCTGTGACAAATATACACCACTGTCAGACTTGCCTCAGCTAAATCAAAATCCTCAGGATTCCTGCTATTCATCATTCAGAACAAAAACTGAAAAATGCACAGTGATCTAGAAATGAGTTCCAGGTAAACAAATTAGTGTGAAGCTGTTTAAAATGAACAGAAATATAAGTCCCCTGGATGTGCCAAGAGGCTGGAGCAAGGTGACTACGGGGGAAACGAAAGACAGCTTTTCTAAAATTACATTGCTCACAGTTTGAATTCTCCTGTTTTACTCAAAAAACAGAAACCATGGACAGAGAACAAAGAGCAAATTATTAAGCAAAAAAAAAAAAAAAAAAAAAAAAACTGGAACCAAAAAAAAAAGAGGAAAAAAAAAAAAAAAAAGGAGAAGCTGTTCACACAAAGTCTAATATACCCAGTCAGAAGAGTTTCCCACTTAGGAATGCAAATGAAGTTGCACTATAAAGTAGTCTCTTGGCCTAAGTATCAGTTTCATTATTATGGGGTTTTTTTCAGCTGTTTCGAGGCTACATACAGGTGTTTTCTCCCACACACACCTTTTATTTGTGTTTATAAATCAAACATACCTTGCTGCGGACATATATGTAAATATTATTAGTCAGTAGTGGATTTCAGCTAACATCTCTGGTGTTAGTTAGTTAAGCTGTATTATGTATTATAAATATAATATAATATTTAGGAGGCAAAAAAAGACTGATACAACTATTATTAATTCTAATGATCTGTTATCTCCATAGCTAAGATTTCCCTGTGGTGTGGAAACACCATCAGAAACACAGGCTTGGTTTGATTTGCTCCAACTACAAGGAAAGAGCATATGCCAAGGTTATGAAGAGAGTGTGCACAGTGCTCTGACAATGATTATTTACTTAATGATGTCCTTAGTGGAAGTATATCACCTGTTTTGTAACCTGTTGTGGCTGCAAATTAATGTAAAATCAGACAGAATTTAAAGGCATAAACCAGTTTCCTCAAAAAAACCCCAACCCTTTCCTGGGCCCAACAGAGAATGTAGGCCACAGCCAAAGAAAAAAAGAAAATAATTTTGTGTACAAAATCCAGTAAATGTATATAATGTGATCCTAATTCATGACAAAGAAGAAGAAAGGCTGTAATACAGGTAAACAAAGTTATATTGTTGTTAAAATAATAATAGTGAAATGAAAGTCCACCTATCTAACATGCAGATGTGCTAATGAGTGAAATTTTTTATCACAAGAAGCCACCTGTTGTTGCCTTCATTGACTAAGAATGTAAAAACAAACAGCACTAAAAATAAAGAGAAAATAAATGTTTCAACAGATAAAAACAAGTCTTTAAACTGCTCTTCATTAATACACCATGTACATTCTACACAGGCGACATGCACCCAGGTCTGCATTCATTGGTATGGTATGCATGCTGGAATAAAAGTAGATCAGTGCTGAATTAGGTGCATAGTGTTTATTGTTAAATGCAGCCAAGGAAAAGCTTTAAAATACATTATAAGACACAACACTGAATAGAGAAAAGAGAATTCAATGTGTCACAATTTTTTTTAAAAAGTACAGTTTTGTGCACTAAGCAAAGGCTGTACATCTCGCTATATACTTACAGCTGCCAAATTTCAGTGGGCATGAGTGAGCATCCATAGGGAAGTCCTCCAAGTGCATTGGACATTCCGCTTGGACTGTAAGCCTAAAAGGCAAAAGACCGCTATGCATTTAAGTCAGTTAGCAGGACAAGAAAATAATTTCCAAAGAGATGAACAGAGTTCATGCTGATTTAGGAGATGAAACTGAAATGTTATATTAAACTAATCAAAATTTAAATCAGCTCTTGCTTCTTCCCTTTTATGTGCTCCTTTAGAAGGCATTGACTTATCACTTCAAAAACCTGAAGGAGCTGACCTCAAAACTGTGAGGAAAGGCCATTTAAATGAAAATATAAATTATGCATCTTCAGGTTGTTAAGAACGATCATTTTCTTCTCATAATATTCTGAGGTACATGTGTGTTTATATGGCTCTTAAAGGCTCATTACAAAAGCACATAAAATACAGTTAATTTGCCAAAGGACTCTGTTCCACAGTTTTCTGAATTTATTTTTTTACAGTTTGAATTGAAGATGTAGGAAAAAAAAATTGTGTTCTTTCAAAGGATTGCTGCTAGTCATTCTCTATGTTACTTCTGATTATTTTTATGTATAAGCATGACAGTATGTTAACAATGCATTAACTTTTGCTCATTTTGTGAAAAATTACCAGTATTATCCCAGTATCAAATATGGGGATTAATACAATAAAAACAAAAAAACAAATATAGTTTGAAGAAAGTTTTTGACAGACTTTTCCACTATTTTTAATTACAAAAAAAAAAAAAACCAAAACAAACAAAAAAAAAAACTTTGTTTCTCCTTCCTTTCCTGTAAGTCTCCTCTGGTGGAGACTTTTTCTGGATGTCTTCATTCCTCTTCATCCAGCTTCAAACATCAGCTACATTCTCCTGTACTCCCAGTAGTTCACAGTCATTGTATTCCCCACTACGTTCTCCCACCCTTCCACCCCAAAATATTCCATATTCCTATTTGTCCACTCCCTAGGAAAGTTGTTCTCAAGTCAAAGGGGAGAAGAGTCATCAAAAACTTGAAGGCACAGGAAAGAACAGTGTGAGCCTCTGATATAAATCACACTATCATTTTAAATAGACACAGATAAAATGACTGTTTAAAATCTATACAATGAAAACAGTTTAATCTCACACCCTCAGAAGCAACATACTTGTAAGTCATGAACTTATGAACAAGTCATGAAAATGCTTAGTTAATTCTAACTGACATGACCCATCTTAAGATTAAAAAAATTCATAGTAGTTTCGAACAGTATTTCTTATTATTTATAACATATGATTATAATACCTTCTGGAGAGAGAGAATTTCAGTCAGTTTATACAGACACAAGTTCAAATATTGATTTGAGCCCAAGCAAAACTACTATAAATGGGGGTCTCAATTTATTTCAAGCAAACTTTCTGAACCTCTCCAACCACCACATCATTCAGTATCACTAGTAGTCCACCCATCAACACTCAGTACTATAAAGGTTTGGGTGTTGTATAGCAAATCAGGTTTAAGGAATGCTGGTATAACTGCATGGAAAAGATTGCACAGTACATGTTTGCTTTACAGCTCAGACTTTGTATCTTAGACTGGGGATTTTATGTCTATTTTCATAACCAATTCAATTTATTAAATATTCTCAAAGAAAAAGAAACTAAATCAGGGGTTTCTGGAAATTTGAATAAAAGATTTCCAAGAAACTCATACAGATAACATTACTGCAAGAAAAGAGTCACCAAAGAAGAAACCCGTCTTATAAAAAGGGTGCTTATGCCTTTCCATATATGCAAAGATAATCATGCAGAGGACGCAAAAATTAAAACTCTAAGTAAAATATCGTAATTAGATATAAAGAAACAGTTATTAGAGAGTAAAACATATTTTCCTTGTAGTTCTTTCTGGAAAGGATTCAAGGCCTTATTAATCCTTTCTTCTTACGCTTTATTTTTTATAACCAGTGATCTTAAAAAATTTGCTTAATGGCTCACATAGTCAGTACAATGGATGCAGTAGCAGGCAAAAGTCATATACTATTTTAATAGTTCCAAGATGGAGTTGCTAAACTTTGAGTATTCTTATTCTTGTACAGTGATTCCCATCTGAAGGTCTCAAAGCATTTTATGCAGGTGTTGAGTACCTTTCAATACAGTAGAGAGCTATGAAAACTGAAGAACATATAAGAAAACTGATCTAACTCATAGTCAGCCAACAGACTTGTAACAGAACTGGAAACAACACATTTTTTCTTAGCATTCTTTCTGCTGGGACAGAAATGAAACAAAGGAGAGTCCTCCTGGAACCTTAACACATTGAGAAATATCTTGAGTAGAAAACAGATGAAAAGACTTACCTCATGGTGTACAAGAGAGTCCCATCATCTTGGATCCGTAGAAGTTTGTTTGGCATTGTCATGTTATGAGCCACTGACTTCTTCCCATTGTGAAAAAATGTATCTGGGGTCCAGATTTTGCTTGCCATTAAGTTGTTCAATCGAAGAATGTTCATTGGGCCCTTAAACTTTAATCTTTCATCCTTCCATCTCTGACGGAAAAAAACATCTATTGTGTATTCCTGTAATGGAATAAAGATATGCTTTTTTTTTGACACAATGAAACATTAATCTGCTTTTTAAGGGACAAAACAGAAAAGTTCTTGTTGTGAAAATTCCTCTGGTAAAATTGTCAAAATTGTATAATACTGAGAATAATAATCAGGAAGTCAATTTATTAAGGGTATGACATTCTCCTTCATGATTGCTAGCTGTTGTTTGTATATCAAACCCTTCCAATATTTTTATTTTTGTACCTAATACATATATATATGATACATATATATATATCATACATGTATATGTGACAAGGATAATTTCAACAAACACAACTATTTTACATTAAGAAGTAAGAAAAAACACACAGAATGATATTAAATAGTTCCTGCAGCAGATGCTTCTGAAGGAGATTAATCCAGCATTTCAAGAGCATGGAGAACAGCTGAGTCTGGAAGGAAGGAAACAAAGCTATCCATAATGGGTACAATATATCCAGGCAGACTGAGATAAGGAAAATTTTTCCAAAGGGGAAAATAAGACCCTGTAGCAGTATTTATTTTATTGACAGAAGTACACAGGTAGGGAAAAATAGTTGACGATTAACAGATGACACACACTGTCTGCTGAACTTTACTCTCATGCCTAATCTTGGGAAGGAAGTACAGTCTGGAGAAAAGGATGCAAGTGAAAACAGACTAACGACCTACAGCAGATGCCTGTGTCACCCAGCACTGAGTATCCCACCTACTGGGTTTTGTTACTGTTATAAACAAACAAGCAAACAAAGGTGCTGATTAAACATTGATAATGTAAATTCATCAACTAACTTAAAATCGGATCTGTAAATGGATTTAGTGGTTTGATACTCTCAGCAAAGCATACAAATTAGAAATAGAAAAGCTTAAAAACTTTGTTGGAAGCAAACTGTATTCTATGTATTGGCAAATGCTACCCTGGTGCAATTTCAGTTTTGTTGGACAGGTGCAAAATGGACCATGATTTCTAAATATTAGTATGTTACAACAGTCTGTACAATTGCAATTACTCTGCAAATGCTACGGTTTAGGTAAACCATTTCCAAGCAAATTACCTTTGAACGGACAAGTCCTGATAAAATTCAATTAATGTAAAATATTCAAGTTCTTTCAACATAAAAGTGATTTCAAGAAACTTATCAGCCCCCATGACTTTCTGCTGGCTCCCCTGTGTGCTGATTAACAAGGTCTAAGCTTTTTCTCAGTCAATCATATGGTGGTACAAAAGGAGTACTGAGTAGACAGCAAGAAGTGACAGCCCTTCTCAGCTCCTTTGGTCCGTGAGCCCAGAAGCTGTAAGGACCTTTTCCAGGTCAGGGCCAAAAGCTGAGAAGAACATGTGAAAGGAAAGAGAATTCTGTTACCTGAAGGAGCATGGCAGGGGCAGGAGAGAAAGCAGTTGTCATCAAGAACTGTGACAGGTGCTTGGGGAGATCTTTTTTTGGAATGATGTAATGGGATACTTACAAACTAGCCTGACAAAAAACACAAGCCCAATTTTAGCTATATCAAGAGGTCTTACACTACTACAATACAATTTTGTCATTTTGCTAATTAAAATTATAGTTACTCAAACAAATATTAAATAAAACTAATGCTACAGTACACTGAAAATTAAATTGTTTCAGTTTCTTTAATGGCAGTTGCTATTATCTCTAATAACACTTTAGTAAACATATCTGCAATATACAAAATTATGTACTTCTAAAAAATTGATTTCTTTGACATATCTGATCTTTTACTGTCTCTCATCACTGCCAGAGAAACTGCCTCATGACAAGTAATTTGCCCATTTCTCTATGATAGATCACATACAATTGTCCTGTTTTATTTGCCGATTTATATGTTGTTTTATTTGCTAAATATCATGACATCATCCCTTTACAAATTCCAAGTTATCTGTCAGTTTACTTGTAGATCAGGGAAAGTCACAAAAATGCATAAAATCATGGAGGATCAGGAGCAGCAAGAAGCGTGTGCTTGAAGCAGGGGGAATATACGAAATCTGGCTAGAAATACTGGGTAATTCAAGGAAAACAACTGCCCTAAAAGCCTCCTTGTGGTTTCTGTCTGAGGTACTTTGCCAATAAATCATTGCTATGTATGAGACGATTGATATTTGAGGTATAAAGAAGTGGAAAGAAGAGCCTGAGGGAGTAAGACTTTGAAATCCCACTGAAATTCAACAGAAGTGAGTGATAAGTCCCCCAAGTTCCTTTGAAAAATATCCTGTATACCTAAATGATTAGAATATAAATCTCAAGTTTTTGTAATAGAGAATTTCAAAGGTCCTGCTTCTTCACTGTCTTCCAACATATAAACAAAGTATTACAGGAGAGATAAAAGAGAAAAAAAGCAGACATGAAATGCCACTAAATCAAAACAGCAACATTTCAAAAAACCACATCTGATGCATAGCAACAGCTTAGGAAGTAGAATAAGCATCAGAGAATCTGAACTGCAGACTTGAAAGATCCCACTGACAAATCTCTGACTGATCCACAGGTAATTCTATCTCTCTATCGCAATTTTCCATCTAATCCATGCTGGAAAATTTTATTTGCATCCATTTACAGAGTGATTATGAAAAGCAAAATACAATGCATGCCTCTTGCATCCCAGTGCTATATTCACTGATCTCATGTTCCCTCCTGAGCCAAATTATTCTACTTATAATCACAAATATCCCTATGATGAATACCGTACGAAACAAATGAAAAAACAGGAAAATATTAAAGTATTTTGAACATAATCAATGTGATAAAAAGTCAGCTTTTATCAAAAGATGCTACATAAAGATATTGTAACTATTTCCTATTCCATATATGTACCACTTTGTGGTAAATGCTTACTTTTCAAGCAAGACTAACATTCGGTTAGAAATGCAAATCTGGACTCTAGGAAAAAAGACTCAAATTAATACCTGATACTCTTTTCATACAATCTGCAGATATTCTCCTACATGAAAAAACCTGTGCAGTCACTGGATATTACCAAACCACTCTCCAGCACTTAGTGCAGTATCTCCACAAAATCACAAGAGCATACTTCCAAGACTACAAAGGACTCCTGTGATCATTTCTGGGCAAGCAAATGCTTCCTACTGATTTGTGTCTAAAAAGGTGCTTTCACAGCTGGATTCTAACACAGTACAATTAAACATAATCTTTCAAATATGTATTAGAGCAACTTACATGAAATCTTAGGGACAGATGAGAGATTCTTACTGTAGTGTTAAGAAGCACTGAGCCTCTGCCAGTTCAATGGTCAGAAGAATAAAATGGTGAAGGAATTTCATTCTTCTTTTAAAATGCAGTTGTTGTGCATTACAGTATGCTCAGAAAAAAAAGACATTAATATCTTTGGGAGAAGCTTTAACTGACCTGGGTACAAGCAATCACTCCTCACTATGTGGCAGTCTTCTTTTTTGCTAAGGTTAGATTTGTAACGGAAAAGTTCAAACACCAAAAAATGTACTCTCATCCTCTCAGATAATGGTTGGCAGATTTTAGCACCTTTTGGCATATGCAGTAAAGATGGAAGTGTTCCAAACACTTCAAAAATTGTGAGTGTCCATTAGCAAGCGCTATTGTCATGGAGCAGACTGAACATTTTATTAGTCACCCCCTGGAACACAGCATTTTATTTAGTGAATAGTTCAGGTCAGAGTTCCTCATTCCATACTTGCAAAGATTTTTCTCTACTGTAAACGCCATTAAGTAACACACATATATAACCATGAAAGCTAACTTTAAATACGGTAAAATATAAAACTTTTTAAAGGCAAATAGAAAAGGCAATCAAAAACAAGGAAAAATAAAAATGCACACACATCTTACTGATCCCTTAAAGACAGTAAAAAATACTGTAGTTGATACATTGATGAGGTAAACGCATAAGATTCATGGACCTCAATCTCACCTAGCTAATATAGGTGTTTCATATTAATATTTATTTTTACATTAGTATAATTTCTTAATTTTATTTCTTAAAAGCACATTCTTGGTCTCGTATCTACCTTAAGGCAATGTGTAATTTTTCTTTCAGTTTGTCTGAAAAATATTAGTATACAACTAATACTGTTGAATATTAACATGGTTGGTACACAACAAAGTATCAAAACCACTTCCAGGAAGACAAAGAAGGAGTTTTAGATAAGACACTCAAAAAATATAATTATTCAAAGCAAAATAATCTGCCCGGTATCTGCATTCTTGCTATAATCTGGTATTTGTGTGCTTGATGAGTGCAAGTTTGTGATGGAACTTCTCCAAATTAATTTACCAAACTTCCTCACTAGGCATTTGGATCTAGCTTTTGAGCGAACGCTGAAATTAGCTTTACAGTGGGAGGACAAATTAGTTTGCTGTCTTGGTCATTTCATTCTCTATGGGATAGATCTATGCATGGTGCTAATGGTATACACAAGGGCTAACACATTACAACAGTCTGCAGAACCTCATAGTTTTTGAAGTACACTGTCGCATGGCCTGACTTTACCTAGGCTTGTCTACCAGATTGGACAAACAATGTTTCTCCCATCTCCATCCCATTTTCTACTTCTGTCTTCTCTAAAAAAAAAAAAAAAAAAAAAAAGTCTAACAATATTCAAGACTGAAAGTGTTCAGGATGCAATTCTCCTCTCCTCAAAAACCCCTCCACACTCCAATCACAAACACTGACAGCTCAGGCTCTGTCAAAGTACTTCACTAGCTGTGTATCTAACAGCAAACCTTACTGCACAGACGTATAAACTGAGTCCACTTGTTCTTTTCCAAAACTTACCTTCCGAAGTGTACAAAACAAACCAACACACAGAAGGGAATAGCAGACAGACAGATATTTCTTTCAGGTCTTTGGGAGGTGAATAGAATTCTTGAAAATATTCCAGATAAACTCCCTTATGGAGGAGAGTTTTGGTTTGAAACTGCACCGTTGGTTATTTTTCATAAAAAACCTTTAACAACCCTGTTAAAGACTTAAACACTATCCTATCACTGTACTTCAAAGGAACGTGCATTCATTTTAAAATACATAAGTAATGTCTGCCAGATTCATACAACCCTTAATACTATAAAGAAAATGTAGCATATTTCTAGGGAATTGTAGCATGATTTTCCTCTATTTGAAGAACTCATTTCAAGCCTTTTATTTCTGCTTCATCTGCCAATTTCAGTCATTTTCATCTAAGCATTTAATCTAAACATGAAGTATTTGAAAAAAAATTGGAAAAAAATGTGTTTAACCAGTTTGAATGATAGTGTCTAAGGAAGAGAATGTCCTCCTATTCATATCCATTTACGAAAAGGACCTCTCTGACTGTTTTTCTCTCCCTTTCTTTCCATAGACCTGATGCAGAATGAACTCTGAGTCTAAAATAAGCACTGAGGAGGGATGAGAGAGGAATATGAAAGATACAAATACAGTTTACTTAGAAAAGAAACAACAGGATTTTATTCATATGGCTGTCACTGAAAATACAAACATTTCTTATTACCCTTTTTTATTCAGCCATGGAGAAAGAGGAACCCTGAAACACAATGGATGCCTTGTGCTAGGGACAGGAATCCAAAGAAGAGGTACACTGAGAGCTAGTATCAGTGAAGGGCTTGGACACAGCCTCTGACAAATCAATCTCCAATACTGATCCACTTGGCAGGATGCTTCAAAGGGGAACAAGCCTTTCCAACAGAATAAAAGCACAGAAATTCTGCAAGAGATCATATGAGATATCCTCAAAATTTCAGCCTATGGATTTAACTTGAAAAGGTAATGACCTGGGCCAACAATAAAAGGGAATAGAGCAACCAATTTATTGACTTTTCAGAAACATAACCATGACAAAAAGACAATTTAAATGCTCCCAAACACCAAAGAGAAGCAAGTGTATTTATCTTTTTTTTTGCCTTTTAGTCTTTAGTTTTCTGTTACTGAGTTAAAATAAAAGCTACAGTAAAATAGTTGCAGTACTTTGTGAAAAAAATCATTGTGGAGCATTCCCTTTTTCTGTTCTGACTTACATATTATACATGCCTTGTAAAGATTCCCTCTACTTAAGGAACTATAGCTTATAATTAGACTTTAAAACAGCTAAAAAATAAGTTTCAGAGAAAAAAAACAAAATCTGAAATACAAAATGGAATGAGGAAGTCTGAAAAATAGACACAGAAAAAGAAATGCGGTTCCCAGTTCAGTCACTCTCTCTAGAGAACTATCCTGAGTTGTAGTGAGAGACACTATAACAATCCTTGCGGACATTTCAGGATTTGACCTTCAGCCTTCATTGAAAATTTCTATTCCAGCTATATTTGAAAAATCAGAAATGTTTCTTGAAAGTTT